GTATTTATTGTTAATTGGCTGGCCAAACTAAAATAAGAATGAAAGTAAGAGGTTGCTAATGACAAGAAGATGTGGGAAAAGTATTTTGGTTTTGTTTTTGTGTAGCAAAACTGCAATCAGAGGATGTAAGAAATGTCAACGAAAACACTAACAGCCAGCGTGAACAGCCTTCAGCCCACAATCCCAAAACACGTTTTCAAAGTGCTTTCGTTGTCGGTCAGAACATGGTATAATATTCTATTCAATTGGGAGTAAGATTTTCGACATCGATTTTTCCGATATCGATATTGTTCATCCCGATATATCGCCGTATTGATTTTACATGCAATGAATTAAATCGATTCATGTTATCGATACTTTCTTAAATATCGAACATTCCTAGTACCAATTGTTTCAACAATTTTGTTGTTTCCCGCCAGTAAATATCTGAAGTCGGTTTATATCTAATCTCATGTTTTGTTTGTAACTTCTAAAGAGGTGCCGGAAAAATGGCCAGACCGCAGATTAGCTATCGGCCTCCCATGACTGATTCCGAAGATTCAGATGGCTACGAAGGATTTTATTTTGGTGATATGGTTAGTATGTATGCGCTAAAAGAGTTAATTGACGTGGTATTGTATTTATTACTCAAGAGTCACTTTCAAGGACACGAGGCGTGCGCATAATGCATTACCTTGTTTTTGGCAAGACCATTATATGACTTCCACTTTTTAGCCTTCGAAAAAACAAAGCCAAACGGCGACCTCTTGGCAACAGCAACAAAACAAACATTCGGAAATATTACTATCCGTAAGGAACGGAGATTTTGAAAAGTTGAGGCAACAAGTTCGTGAGCTAAACATATCTATCAATGAATCAGTGAACGGTAAGTAAAAAAAAATTGTATTTTTGGTATTAATACTCAAGTAATTTCAGGCGGATTTACATTGCTGATGACTGCTTGTCGTGAGGGGCAGTTGTCTATAGTGAGATGCTTGTTGGAAGATTTCCGAGCAGATGCCAATAAACAGGTGGACTCTTTCACGCCACTTATGTTAGCCTGTGAATGTACAAACAAGGATTCACATGTAATTGACCAAACAGTTCAGCTTTTACTCAAACATGGCGCAGTGATAAATGTTTCCGACAAGTATGGGACTACACCCTTTATGCACGCCTGCAAAAACGGCTACACTTCTATAGTTAGGCGGATGTTGAAAGATGTATCATTCGATGCAGTTGATAACCAAGGATGTACTCCAATATTTCACGCTATAGAAAATAACCGGGCAGACGTGGTAAAATTATTGGTAGAAGCTGGGGTTAACGCAACTATTGCTAATAGGAAGGGCTATACGCCAGTTCAAGTAGCGCAATTCCACGGATTTTATGATCTACTTGATTTCTTGCCCAAAGAAAAGGATACGTATCTTGTGCCACCGCAGTTCCTCGGCTACAACACCTTACGGGACTACATCCCAAGAATATTTTTGAAATCCGATTGCCCAGAGTATTTTCAGGAAATAAACGCGATACTCTTATCATTAAACATGGGAAAATATCTAGAGTATTTTGCAAAGGAACAGATTTCTCTGTTACAATTTCTCTCCATGAGTGATGATCAAATGAAAGAGATTGGCATTAAATATCCCATTTTCAGAATGAAAATAATGAAAGGACTTCTTGAGTAAGTAATCAGCACAATAAAATTGTTGATTCATTAACATACAAAAGTTTTCATAATTCTTCATAAAAAGTTTCCATTTGCATCACTGGACTAAAAAATCCATTGCCAGAGTAAGTCGGTCCTCAAAAGAGAAGTGAGTATTTTGTTAAAAATTAAGAGGAAATATATGTATGCCATCTAATTTTACAAACTTTCCCTTTTGTAGTTTTTATGAAATTTTAATGGTAACTGCCAATCATTTGCAACATTCGGTAATCATAACTGCAACTATACGGTTTGTGAAAGCGCACGTCGTATCAGGCGAGCTGGGCATTATCTCGCAGGAGCATTTGCAGGCATTGCAGCGTAATTTAAATGAATACCGTACGACAATAAAAGAACTGCACAAAACCACCAAATATGTAAGTAGTTGTGTCATATGCACATTCGGGCTACATGCTTATGTTTTCTTTAATATTTTTCCAGCTGGCGACTTTCAGCCCTACAAAAAACCCATTGTATATTGACTACGATGAGTATGTCGCTGAACGCAAACGTCTTAAATTAAGCTGTTATTTCAAGTACACCACAATAGTTATTGGTATTTCGGTATTTATCTGCCTTAAAGTGAGAAAGCTCTTTTTTGGTTCCTAAATACTCAAAATGTCAACTCCTAAAATAGTAATAAAGCATTTTATATAATGCTTTGAAGATAACTGCATTGTTATAAATATGTTTGAATTGGGTTCAATAAGATACATACATAAATTGCAAACATGAACGTTCGATGTATTAACACCGACTTTAGTGTGACTCAAGTTTGAATTCAACTTATCCATTATGCTCCTAACATTTTTTACTGGCCATGAATTTTATTACTTATTCTTTTGGGGAACATTCAGAAATTTCGGGTACTCTTATCTTTCGATATTAAAAATGCTTAATCGTTAAAAAAATAACCGGGGGACCGTTGAAATTTCAACGAAATTGGGCCTTGGAATACAAGCCCCTATTATGAGTTCCATTCAATCTTCGACTTCGAAAGTGGTGATCGAACGAATTTTCATTTGGTA